TGCTTTAGCACAGAGACTGGTGGCATTTTGCCTCTGCCCTAGAGATCTGTGGAGTTATGAACTTGAGAGAGATGATCTGAAATTGGAACTTACATTTAAAACAGAAGCAGAGCATAAAAGTTTGGAAAATTTTTAGCCTGACAATGCAACTATAAAGAAAAACCCATTTTCTGGGGAGAAATTCCAAGCTGGCTGCAGAACTTTGCATTAGTAAAGAGGAGCCAAATGTTAATCACAAAGACAATAGGGAAAATGTCTCCAGGGCATGTCAGAGACCTTCAAGGCAGCTCCTCCCAACACAGGTCCAGAGGCCTAGTAAGTAAAAATGGTTTCCTGGGCCAGGCCCAGGGCTTCACGGCTTTGTGCAGTCTTGGCACTGTGACTTAGCCACATCCCAGCCATGGCTAAAAGGGGCCAACATACAGCTCAGGCCATTGCTTCAGATGGTGGAAGCCCCAAGCCTTGGTGGCTTCCATGTGGTATTTGTGCCTGTAGGTGCACAGAAGTCAAGAACTGAGGTTTGGGAACTTCTACTTGGATTTCAGATGATATATGGAAACGAATGGGTGTCCATGGAAAAGTTTGCTGCAGGGGTGGAGTCCTCATAGAGAAACTCTGCTAGGGCAGTGAAGAAGGGAAATGTGGGGTTGGAGCATCCACAGAGTCCCCACTGGGGCACTGCCTAGTGGAGCTGTGAGGGCCACCATCCTCTAGACTCCAGAATGGTAGATCCACTGACAACTTGCACAGTGCACCCAGAAAAGCTACAGACACTCAATGCCAGCCTGTGAAAGCAATCAGGAGCAGGACTGTACCCAACAAAGCCATAGGGGCAGAGCTGCCCAAGACAATGGGAACCCACCTCTTGCATCAGCATGACCTGGATGTGAGACATGGAGTCAAAGGAGATAATTTTGGAGCTTTAAGGTTTGATGCCCTGCTGGATTTCAAACATGGATGGGGCCTGTAGCCCCTTTGTTTTGGCCAATTTCCCCCATTTAAAATGGATATATTTACCCAATATCTATACCCCCATTTTATCTAGGAAGTAACTAAATTGCTTTTGCTTTTACAGGTTCACTGGTGCAAGGGACTTGCCTTGTCTCAGATGAGACTTTGCACATGGACTTATGGGTTAATGCTGGAATGAATTAAGACTTTGGGAGACTGTTGGGATGGCATGATTGGTTTTGAAATGTGAAAGGCACATGAGATTTGGGAGGGTCTGGGATGAAATGATATGGTTACGCTTTGTGTCCCCATCATAATCTCATCTTGAATTGTAAGCTCCATAATCCCCATGTGTCAAGGGAGAGACTGGGTGGAGGTGACTGAATCAGGAGGATAGTTCCCTCATGCCCTTCTAATGACAGTCAGTTCTCGTGAGATCTGATGGTTTTATAAGGGGCTCTTCTCCTTTAGTCGGCACTTCCTTCCTGTTACCTTGTGAAGAAGGTGCCTTGCTTCTCCTTTGCCTTCTGCCATGATTATAAGTTTCCTGAGGCCTCCCCAGCCATCCTGACCTGTGAATCAATTAAAACTCTTTCCTTTATAAATTACCCAGTCTCAAGCAGTTTTTTATATCAGTATGAAAATGGACTAATACACCATATAATGGAAGGGAATTTTGACACAACCTATGACATGGATGAATTGTGAATACATTATGCTAAGTGAAATAAGCCAGTTACAAATATTGTATGATTCACTTAAAGGAAATATCTAGGGCTGGGCATGGTGGTTCACAACTGTAATCCTAGCACTTAAGGAGGTCAAGGTGGGAGGACAGCTAGAGCCCAGGGTTCAAGGCTGCAGTAAGCTATGATTGTGCCACTACACTCCATCCTGGGCAACAGAGCAAAACCTCAACTCAAAAAAAAAAAAAGAAATATCTAGAATATGCAAATTCATAGAGGCAGTAAGCATATGAGAGGTTACCAGGGGCTGGAGAAAGGGGAAATGGGGAAGTTATTCTTTAGTGGGTAGAGAGTTTTTATTTAGGATGATGAAAAAAATTCGAAAATAGATAGTGGTTATGGTTGTACACTTAAAAATGGTTAAAACAGCACATTTTATGTTATATATATTTTACCACAAAACTTTCATGAAATGATGTACTGTTCTCCGTTAAAGAATTTTACCTTCCTTCATTCTGATATTGGTCACCTTAACTACAGCCATTAAATCTCTATAATGTATAGACAGTTAAAAAAATTTGAAGACTGCCTGAAGTCTATATATAGACTATATAAATACACAGATATATCTTTCTGTATATAGTCTAGCTGTGTGAATATTTAAAAATATACTTAGACTTTACATATATATATATATATATATATATAGAGAGAGAGAGAGAGAGAGAGAGAGAGAGAGAAACCTTTATCTCTATCTCACTATATTTCTCTATTCCATCTACAGTCTAGTTGTATTCCAAAAAAAGAAGAAATCCATTATTTTGGTGGACAGCATTCTGACATACTTTTTTTATGTTTATTTTTGGAAACAGAGTCTTGCTCTGTTGCCCAGGGTGAAGCGCAGTGGCACATTCTTGGCACACTGCAAACTTTACTTGCGGAGTTCAAGCAGTTCTCGTCTCAGGCTCCCGAGTAACTGGGATTACGAGCACACGCCACCATATTTGGCTAGTTTTTGTATTTTTAGTAGAGTCAGGGTTTTGTCATGTTGGTAGGGTGATCTTGAACTCCTGGCCTCATGTGATCTGCCCACCTTGGCCTCCCAAAGTGCTGGGATTACAGGTGTGAGCCACTGTGGCCGGCCTTGATATACTTATTTAAAGAAAATCACAGAGGCAATGAACTTTACTCTGAGCACTGCTTCAACACTTTAAGTTCTAGTATGAGGTGTTTTTTTTTGTTTTTGTTTTGTTTTGTTTTGAGACAGAGTTTTGCTCTTGTTGCCCAGGCTGGAGTGCAATGGTTTGATCTCAGCTCACTGCACCTCTGCCTCCCGGGTTCAAGCGATTCTCCTGTCTCAGCCTCCTGAATAGCTGGAATTACAGGCATGTGCCACCATGCCCAGCTAATTTTGTACTTTTAGTAGAGACAGGGTTTCACCATGTTGGCCAGGCTGGTCTCGAATCCTGACCTCAGGTGATCCGCCCGCCTCAGCCTCCCAAAGTGCTGGGATTGCAGGTGTGAGCCACCGTGCCCAGCCCTACTATGAGTTATTTTCATTGCCATTAGATCCTAGATATATTGTAGTATGGGTTTTTTTTAAATTTCCAGGTGGTAGGGTTTTTCAAAAAAAAGATTCCATTATTAATTTCTAGCTTTTGCATTGTGATCAGATGATGTTGTCTGTTTTATTTACATGTCTTGGAATTTATTCAGGTCTTCCTTGACATCAATTTTGTAAAAATTCAAAAGGTACTTGAAAAGATGATATATTTTCTGTTCTCAGGATACACAGTATATTTTCAGGCTATAGAGTTTATTTCCATTAAATCTTCTATAATAAGTATTTTATTTAGGTTTTCTCTATCCCTACTTTTTGTTGTTTTTATTCATTTAAATTACTATCATAGACTAAAAGGAGTAAATTAAATTTTATGCATTTATGTTCTTCCTTATAATTCCTAAAATTTTATACCAAAACTGTCAATGACATAATACGTAGCAAAAACAAAGTGATAGACCAATAATTTCTAAATGCTGGAAAACAGAATTCATCAACATATTAAATTAACATACCATAACCAAATAGGGTTTATTCCAGAAATGAAACGATGACTTAATTTTATAAAATCAATTATTATAATTCATTATATTAATAGTTCAAAAGGGAAAATATGATTATCTCCATAAAGTCTGAAAAAGCATATAATTCAATTGAATATCCGTTGATTTTAACAAATTCTGAAACAGGGACAGAAAAACACACTGTAAAAGCTTTAGTCTAAACCTAAAAGCCAATACCACATTTAATGAGGAAACAGTATCAAGATATTATGTAACTTCCAAAGGCTTACTATTATTTAGATTTTAGATTATTTTTATTTATTTATTTGAGATGGAGTTCCACCCTTGTTGCCCAGGCTGGAGTGCAATGGCACCATCTCGGCTCACCACAACCTCCACCTCTGGGGTTCAGGTGATTCTCCTGCCTCAGCCTCCTGAGTAGCTGTGATTACAGGCATGTGCCACCTTGCCTGGCTAATTTGGTATTTTCAGTAGAAACAGGGTTTTTCCATGCTGGTCAGTCTGGTTTCAAACTCCTGACCTCAGGTAATCTGCCTGCCTTGGCATCCCAAAATGCTGGGATTACAGGCATGAGCCACTGCACCCAGCCTATTTAGATAATTTTATAACAAAATATTAGCAGTATCTGATATCTTGATTGTGATTTGGAAGACTAGCTTACATTCAGTTAAACTTAAAGCTTGATTAAATTAGACATTAAATTTAGTGATTTTAAGATTAATAATATTATGTTGAACAATAATAAAATATTTAGTGCTATACTTTCATATAAAGCAAAGTAAAAAATATTCTTATTCTAAACAGTGTGTTATGGAGTCAATACTGATAGAGTGGGGAAAAATCAGTTCTTAAAGAATCATTTGGGCCAGGGGTGGTAGCTCGCACCTGTAATCCTTTGGGAGGCCAAGGTGGGCAGATATCTTGAGGTCAGGAGTTTGAAACCAACCTGGACAATATGGTGAAATGCTATCTCTACCAAAAAACACAAAAATTGAGCCAGGTATTGTGGAGAATGTTTGTATTCTCAGCTACTCGGGAGGCTGGGGTGGAGGAACTGCTTGAACCCAGGAGGAAGAGGTTGCAGTGAGCCAAGATGATGTCACTGCACGCCAGCCTGGGTTACAAAGTGAGATCCTGTCTCAGAAAAACAACAACAAAAAACATTTAACTGGTTATCAAGTACTGCAGTGGCACAAATTTCTGGTGACGAAAGACTTGTTTATTCAGATTCTAAGCTCCTTTCAAACTGTGTTACCAAACTTCCAGTTCCCACTGTACCTGTTTGTTTCAGCAAATTCCAGATCTCATTGCATTTGTGGATCTCCTCAAGTGCACGATTCAGGAATGTGGTCTGTTTGGCAACAATGCAACAAAATAATTAGTCTCAACAAAAAAGAACTGTAAGCAAATTAATATAATCTCATATTATTTTCATTAAAAACAGGTAAAAATCAAATCATAGAAAAATGATAGTTTAAACTGAACATTTTGGAATTTATATAGAAATATTAGCCTCTATTTGCACCTTTCCTTATTGTCCCAGAAAATCAGGATTAAATAGAAAATTTTGAGCATTATCAATTTCTTTAACAATCTAGAACAGAAGAGAAACATTTCTAGAATTGTTGTATGAGGAGCTCCAAAGGTCCTCTCCTCAGCAAAACAATCACCATAACTAGTGAAAATTAGAAAACATAATCATGTAAAGGCTCAGGAAATTACCCTGAGGATATAGAGAAAATGAAGAAACATTTATTCCAGGAAATCTACTACTTGTTAGTAAGAACAGTAAGAGCCTGTGACACTTAAGCCATGATTCACTCACCATCCACCAGCTCAGTGTGATGTAAGCACTGCTTTAGGTGGGTGTGGCCAAGAAGATGAAAGTTTCTCTACCTCCAGTTTCTGGGCTAGGGATTCTCTGGAGGGCCAGACTGCTGGCACTTCTCATCACCCCAGGTCTGTATTGTAGAAGCTCTGTTATAAACAAGCATAGCTCAGATGCTGAGAGCTCTCTTTCTCTACCCAGCACCTATTTGTAAGGAAGGCAAAGCTCTATCCTAGGCATTGCAAATTCAAGATACTGGGTCTCAACTGCTCTCATCTCAGCTGCTTATAGGATAGAGTGTCCATGCTAGGAGCAGAAAGCCAAGAATATCAGGGACTACAACACTTGCCCAGTCTTCCACTCATAAAATTGGATTGTCACTGACAGAAATGGGTCACTGTCCGTGCCCCTAGCTCCAAAACAGTGGTTCTGTTTCTGCCCAGTAGGAGAGGCAGAAAATTAGAAGAGTGGGCTCTACAGCACTCTCTAAAGAAAATGACAATTGGAATAGAGCCTGGAAAAGTTCAAGTCTAAGGACACTGTAAAAAATCATGGAGATTTTGGTAGTGAGCAATTAAGAGATTGGTAGTTCAAGGATATTAAGAAGAAAATAATAGACCAACTAGAAGTTTATAGAGAGAAGTATGTGAAGAGACAGCTAAGAAGATACCTGTACCTTCAAAGGGGACTTATTTTAATTGGAACAGGCTGTAGGGCAATTTATGCACAAGAGCATTTTCACACACACACACACACACACACACACACACACACACACACACACACAGAGTAATCACCTAGCAATTAGTCAAGACTAACAGCTGGATGTGCTACCAATAGAAGAAGGCCATCTAGAAGCTTAAGAGGTCAGATCAGGAAACGAGTAATAAAGAATCCTCCTAAAATCACTGTCATCCATTACCAGAGAAAGGGGTAAGCATGACTTCATAGGCAAAGACGGTGCCTTCCAAGGAGTGACATCAGAGTCTATGTACTATGGGGAAAATAGACCACTATTTCCCTATAACTAATTCACTAAACAAATGAAGAAGCAAAAATTAACATTCACAAACCCCATGGGGAGATCAGTACCCAAAGATACAATGTATTATCTAAAACGTACAGTTTTCAACAGAAAATTACAAGATATGCAAAAAGACAGGAAAGTGTGACCTCTACATAGGAAAAAAGCAGGTAAAAGAAACTGACTTTGAAAAGGCCCAGATGTTAAACTTAATAGACACAGAATTCAAATAAGCTATTTCAAGTATGTTCAAATAACTAAATGAAACCACACTTATGGAAGGTATGACAAAAATGTTCATCAAAAATGAATCTCAATAAAGGGATAAAAATTATAAAAATCAGATGGAAATTCTGGAGTTGAAAATGACAATAACTGAAATTTAAAATCTCATTAGAGGGCATCAATATTAGGTTTGACTTAGGAGAAGAAGCAATCAGCAAAAATAAAGATAGATCAGTAGAGATTATGAAATATGAGAGCAGAATGAAAAAGAAGAAAAATAAACGAAGCCTCAGTTAGACATGGGACACCATTAGGCTCACTAACATATCCATAATGGGATTACCAAAACAATAGGAGAGAAAGAGAAAAAAATATTTTAAATGAATGGATGAAAACCCCCTAATTTTGATGAAAAACAATAATCTACACATTCAAGAAGCCCCCAAAACTCTAGGCAGAATCAAGAAAGATATCCAACCCAGATACATTACAAAATGGTAAAAGACAAAGAAAAATTTGAAAGTAGCAAGAGACACATGACTTGCCACATATAAGGGTGATTAAAATTAATAGCTGACTTCTCATTAAAAATAATAAAGGCCAGAAGGTAGTGGGACAACATATTCAAATTGATCAGAGAAAAATGATAGTCTACTAATAATCTAGTATCTACCAAAACTATTATCCAGAGAAGTTGAAATAAAGATATCCCTGGATAAACAAGAGCTGAGAGAATTTGTTGCTAAGAAACAGTCTTTCAGATTGAAAAGCAAGTAATGCCAGACAGTAATCTGAATACAGATGAAAAACAAAGAGCACTGGTAACATTATATAATTATAAAAATAACATGAATAAAGTATATATTTCTTCTTCTTAAAAAACTATACACACACACACACACACACGTGAATACATATTTGTATTGTTGGGCCTCTGACATACAGAAATGAAATCTATTTGACAATAATAGCACAAGAGGCAGGTGGGAAGAAAGCCGTTTTGAAGTAAGAAAATGAGACTGATATGGTTTGGCTGTGTCCCCACCTGAATCTCATCTTGAATTGTAGTTCTGATAATCTCCACGTGTGGTGGAAGGGACCTGTGGGAGGTAACTGAATCATGGGGGCAGTTTTCCACATGCTATTCTCATAATAGTAAGTTCTCACAAGATCTGATGGTTTTGTAATGGGCGTCCCACTTCACTTAGCTTTCTTTCTCTCTCCTGCCACCCTGTGAAGAGGTGCCTTCCAGCATGATTCTAAGTTTCCTGAGGTCTCCCCAGCCATGTGGAACTATTAGTCTATTAAACCTCTTTCCTTTATAAACTACCCAGTCTCAGGTATTTCTTCATAGCAGTGTGAGAATAGACTAATCCAGAGACCATATGGTAACTCTAATCTACAGAAAAAAATGAGGAGAAGCATAAAAGGTAAGTAAGATGGTTAATGTAAGAAACCATGAAACATACTTTCTTCTCTAAGTTTCTTTTTTTTTGAGATGAAGTCTCATTCTGTCACCCAGGCTGGAGTGCAGTGGCACGATCTTGGCTCACTGCAACCTCCACCTCCTGGGTTTAAGTGATTCTCCTGCCTTAGCCTCCAAAGCAGCTGGGATTGTAGGCACCTGGCACTATGCCCAGCTAATTGTTTTTGTATTTTTAGTAGAGACAGGGTTTCACTATGTTGGCCAGGCTGGTTTTGAACTTCTGACCTCAAGTGATCTACCCACCTTGGCCTCCCAAAGTGCTAGGATTATAAGTGTGAGCCACCATGCCCAGCCTCTTCTCTGAGTTTCTTTAAAAGACACAAAATTCTATAAAGTGATACCATAAGATGTATTCTTGTGTTTGGAGCATATATAGATGTAATATTCATAACAAAATAGCATAAAAAGAGGAGAGAACAGAGCTAATAGGAATAGCATTTCTATATCTCACTAAAATTGGGTTTATAAATTGATGCCAATTCTGGTAAGATCTATATTGTAAGCCCTAGAGTGACCACTAAGAAAATAACTCAAATACTGTGTAAAAATCATTAAAAGAATAAAAATGTTACATTAGAAAACATTCACTTAATGCAAAAGAAAGGGTAAAGGAGAAAATCAAGAATAAAAAATACATGAGACGTACAGAAACCAAGAAGTAAAGTGGCAGAAGTAAATTCAACCATAAAAATAATATTAAATGTGACTGCATTAAAAATCCAGTAAAAGGCAAAGATTATCATATTGAAACAAAGATAATCCAACTACATTCTGTCTACAAGAGAAGCATATTAGGTTCAAAGATAAATAGGTTGGTTGTGAAAGGATGGAAAAAGTTATGTTATGGAAAAATTGATCATAAGAATGTTAGACTAACACTACTAACATAAGACAAGAATGGACTCTAAAACAAAAAATTTAATAGGGACAAAGAGGAATATTTTATGATGTTAAAAGAGCCAATCCATTGGGAATATACAGCAATTATAAACATATATGCACCTAACAACAGTGCCCCAAAAATATCAAGCAAAAATGGATAGCATTGAAGAAATAGATAATTCAACTTTTATTAGTTGGAGACATCAATAGCTGACTTTAAGTAATGAATAGAATAAGTAGGCAGGAAACCATCAAGGATATGGAACACTTGACCAACACTATCAAACTATTAGACCTAACAGCCATAAAACATATCACTAACCCAAGTAGACTGTACATTCTTCTCAAGCACACATGCATGGCACTTTCTCCAGGATAGCTCCCATGCTAGGCCATAAAACAAAGTTCAAATAAATGTAAAATAATTGAAGTGACAAAGTATGTACTCTGACCACAGTGGAATAAAATTAAAAATCAGCAAGAGAAAACAATTTGGGAAATTCACAAATATGTATAAATTAAACAACAGATTCCTAAATAAATGAGTCAAATAAGAAAACACAATGAAAATTAGAAAACACTTTGTGAGATGAATGAAAAAAAATACAACATACCAAAATTTATGAAACGCAGTTCTTAAAGGGAAATTTATAGCTGCAAAAGTTTATATTTAAAAAAAGAAATATCTCAAATCAGTAACCCCAAGTTTTACCTTAAGAAACTGAAAAAACAAAAGCAAATTGAATATTAAGCAAGCAGAAGGAATATTTGAGTGGGAATTATGAAACAGAGACAAGAAATGCAATAGAAAAAATGAAGCCAAAACGACTTTTGAAAAGAACAACAAAATTGGTAAACTTTTGTCTATACTAAGAACAAAAAGAGAGAAGACAAAAATAACTAAATTAGGAGGTATCAATACTGACCTTACAAAGATAAAGAGGATTATAAGAAAATACTATGAAAAACTGTAAACCAACAAATTAGATCACTTAGATGTCATGGATAAATTCCTAGAAAGATAAACTACTAAAACTGACTCAAGAAGAAACACAAAATCTGAATAGACTACAAAAAGTAGTGTAAAATTTATAATCTAAAAACTACAAAACATTGTTGAAAGAAGTTAAAGACCTAAATAAATGGAAAGATATTCCATGTTCATGAATCAGAGGCTTTAATATTCTCCCTAAACTGATCTACAGTTTCAATGCAACCCCTATCAAAATCACAGCTGGCTTTTTGCAGAAATCAACAAGTTGGTCTTAATAAAAATTCCAAGGACCTAGAATAGCCAAAACAACCTTTAAAAAGAAGAACAAAGAGGGAGGACAAACACCTTTGTATTTCAAAATTTCAAAACTTACTACATAAACCTTACTACATAATTATCAAAGCAATGTGCCCTAAGGATAGACATAGATGTCAATGGAATAGAATTGAGAATCAACCTTCTCATTTATGGTCAAGTGATTTCCAACAATGGTGCCAAGATAATTCGATGGGAAAAAAAAACCAGTCTTCAACAAATCGTACTGGGAAAAATGAACAGTCAAATCCAAAACAATAAAGTCAGACCTCTATGTCACACCATACACAAAAATTAACTCATTATAGACCTACATGTAAAAGCTGAAAATATAAGACTCTTAGAACAAAACACTGAGGTAAACCTTCATGACTTTGGATTAGGAAATGGTCTTAGATATAACAAAATAAAATGAATATCATCAATATTAAAAATGTATTTCAAAGGGCACTAGCAAGAAATGGAAAAGACAAACCACTGAATAGGAGAAAATAATTGTAAATCATGTATTTGATAAGAGTATAAAAAATATATAAAGTGATTACAACGCAATGGTAAAAAGACAAATAGGCTAATTAAAAATGAGCATGAAGTGCTTTGGGAGGCCGAGGTGGGCAGATCACTTGAGTTCAGGAGTTTGAGACCAACCTGGCCAACATGGCAAAACCCTATCTCTACGAAAATACAAAAATTATCTGGGCACAGTGGCTTGTGCCTGTAGTCCCAGATACTTGGGTGACGGAGGCAGAGGAATTGCTTGAATCTGGGAGGCAGAGGTTGCAGTGAGCCAAGACTGTGCCACTGAACTCCAGCCTTGGTGACAGAGCAAGAATCTGTCTCTAAATAAATAAATAAATTCAAAAAGACTTCAATAGATATTTTCCAAACAAGATATACAAATGACCAATAAGCACATGAAACGATTATCAACATCATTAGTCATCACAGAAATGCACATCAAAACCACAATGAGGTATCAATTTATACTCACTAGGACAGCTACAATTAAAAAGATGTAACAACAAGTGGTGGCAAGGAGGTGGAGAAATTAGAATCCTCATTCATGGTGGGAATGGAAAACGGTACAGATGCTTTGAAAAACTCCAGCATTCCTCAAATGATGACATATAGAGTTACCATATGACCCAGCAATACCACTCCTAGGTATGTATCATATTGAAAGAAATGAAAACATATGTCCATGCAAAAATTTGTATATCAATGTTCATCAGAGCATTATTAATAATAGCCAAAAACGGGAAACAACCCAAATGTCCATCAATGGATGAATGGATTTTTAAAATGTGATATATTTATACAATGGAATATTATTCAGCCATAAAAAGAAATGAAACACTGACACATGCTACAACACAAAGAACCTTGAAAACATTATTTAGGCATTTATAAAAGGAGCTAGTCAGAAAAGACTACAGACTATATGATGACATTTATATGAAATATCCAGAATAAGCAAATCTATAGAGACAGAAAGTAAATGGTTGCTTAGTGCTGGTGGCAGGCTATGAGAAGTGACTGCCAAATGGGTAAGGGGTTTCTTTTTAGGGTGATAAAAATGCTCTAAAATTAGATTGTATCAATAGTTGCACAATTCTGAGAATACTCTAAAAACCAATAAATTGTAAATGAGTGAACTCTAAGTTATGTGAATTATGCCTCAATAAGTCTGTTAAAAAGCAATACTTTTTGTATAGAAGGCCAGGCAGTAAATAGGCTTTTCTAGCCATATACATTCTCTTTTACATATTTTTATTTATTTTCAACTATAAACCTTTACAAATGTAAAAACCACTCTTAGCTCTCAGTCTGTAGAAAATCAGGCCAGTGGCCTGATTTGGCCAGTTGGCAGTAGTTTACCTACTCCTGCTCTAGGAAAAAGATGTGGTTCCTTGACAAATTACAATTACTCTGTTTTTACCTATCCCTCACTTTCCCCTAACTCATACTCAGAAGTGTAGAGGCAATGTTGATTAAACTGTGAAGTTCATCTATATTCCTTCATCAGCTACTTATTTAAAAATATTCCCATTTATGAGGATTTAGAGAACAGGGAGCAGATGTATACAACAGAAATTAACAAGTATTCTTTAGAGAGACAGAGTACCATGGTCTGATTCATCACTTAGATGATAAAAGGCAGAAGTGCATCTTCAATTATCTAAACAGACATCTTTTCAAAAGCAAAGAAGATTACAGAAGGGTTACTAGTTTAGAGACTTCTTAGGAAACACAGAGGTGTACATAGGAAAGAACACAGAATAAAAAAGAACGGTAGTTAGAAACAAACAAAATAATGACTGTACTTAAGAGTTTGTGAAATTTCTTTCACATCAATGTGATCTCCATTCACTGAGATAAAAAATTAAACAAACTCAGGATTACCAAGCAAAAATGAAAAACTTTTAGAAATTAAAAAGTACTATATATAAATAAAATATTTTTTTTTTAGTAAAGCAAAAGTCTCTATTGAGAATTAAATTACATTTACCTTTGCCTGTTAAATAGTTTTGTTTGTTTTGCTCTGGGGCAGGTAGAGTCTTTTCTCACCTTCTTTTAAAATAATAATACTTCCTAAAAGAGAGTCCCCTTTATTCCTCAGGGACAAGAACTTTGGTTTCTTTATCTCTGTATCCCCAGTACCTAGAAAGGTGTCTGGTGCTCAAATGTTTTTTGAGCTGAACTCAACAATGGAAGGGAAAAGAAGCAAAATAGCTGGCAGAGATCTGGTGAGAGTTTGTTCCAGATCCAAAGAACAAGATGAAAGAAAAGATTAATAGGAGGAAGAAAATAAACAATAAGGGGTTTATATCACGTGGAGAGGAGAGAAGCTGACAAATATGGGAAATTAGGAAGTTTTCTTTGTCCAGGTAAGATAAACCAAGCAGAGAGATCTAGAACTTAAAAATCATACAAAAATGCTATGGGTCTGATTTGGAGACAGTTTTCTTAGATTGAAAGAAGAAAGGTAAACAGCTAAAAGCAAATCAATAATCTGGTGTTTGAGAGACTGTGATCTGGATAGCTTCTAAAAGGGGTAACATTTAAGAACCTGATAGGGAAATTCAGGCTAATGTAAGGAATTCTGTCTTGTAAAAATTAAGTTAATGAAATATTTAAGGATGTGGGACAAAGAAAGCAAATGCAATCGAGAGAAGAGAAACAAGATAAGTAATAATTTCAGATGGCTATCAAAGCTATGGAAATAGATGAGTGCTTCCTTAGAAGATGTGACAAGAAACAAAAGTGGGTCCACACCCATATATAAATCACAGGCAGACAATGAAGATAAAGAATATTTAAAAACGTTTTTGGAAAGAGTGGTCCATAAAAAAAGGAATTTTTAAAAACTTATTTATTTTTATTTTGAGACGGAGACTCACTCTGTCACACAGGCTGGAGTGTAGTGGTATGATCTCAGCTCACTGCAACGTCCACCTCCCTGGTTCAAGCAATTCAGGAAGGGGAATTTTAAAAGAGGAGATACCAAAAAAAAAAAAAAAGAGGAGATACCTAATCTTCTTAAAAGAAGAGGCCACACCAAAAGTAACCTTTGCATAGGAAGGAATTAGCCATTACAAACTTTTGAAATCAAGATGCTGCTGGAGTGGAGAAAAGGATTCTCTAAAGACAATCAAAAAGAACTGCATTAGGGAAGGCAAACATATCAAATAGCACACTGAATTCTTGTCTTTTCTTTGAAGGTTGCACATTACCTGTTCAAAAGTTGTTGAAGCTTTTCTCCCTTGCTCTAGATCAACTGCAACTGCCATAAGTAAACATGTTTTCCGTGCAATCAGAATTACTTTATCGGAAGGACAAAGCTGGGACATCTGATAAGAAGGAACCAGAACATCAATGAATAGTGAGAATTCTGCCAGGTGAACACAAACAATCAGAATAAAAATCAGCAACTTCCTGTCTGAATGAGAAAATTCAGCTGGAAAAGCACATGTCACCACATAAATGATATAAAATATAATGCTGATTTATGCTTTTAATTTTATATTTCTTTCCATTGTTTTTAATACCTTTCTAGAGATAAAAAGCTTCATTTCTTCACAGTTTTCCTATCTTTTCCAGTGACAAGTAGTATCATTTGCCCCTGTATTTCTATCTAGTGATTTACTTCTTGGTTTATGCTGCAATTTCTAAGTGATTTTTCCCCTGGCAAATAGATTTTTCCCCCTTTGTATTGAATAGAGCCAAAATTAGTACATATATTGTCATGGTTGAAAGAGGCATTGTCAGATCTTGACAGGCATTAGGCATGACCTCATCACTAACATTGCCTAGTTTTAGGAAAAACTCCCAGCTACTACAATAAAACTCTAGGCCATTTGGATTCTTACATGCCAATCCTACAAGTCCTATCACAAATACCAAAACTAAAAACAATTTATTTCACTTAATTAAAATGGCAGTTATGTCTAAACTTGCAAAGACTGTTTCTTAATCTCCCCAAACATTCAGTGATCATAATCATCATTGTTATTAAATTAATAGCATTTAAGATACCCAATCTCTTTAGGTCTCAGATTACTCTTATGTGAGATGAAGAAGTTGTGGTAGATATTCTTTATAGTTCTTTCTAGCTCTAAAATCCTTAACATTTAATTGACCTCAACATATCATACTGTGTACCAAATGTGTATGAAGACTACTCTTTAGCCCTTCTTCTTTTATTCCCCTATCAATACTTTGTACCCTTTCTGGCATTTAACTTCTACCTTGTAGGCCAACGACTATTTAAAAATGCTTAGAATTAAATAATAAAACTCACAAATCACTACACACAGAACCTGCTCTAGGAAAGTTATAAGGAGGCTTAAGCTTCTTATCTCCTTTTTCAACCCCGGCTGCCCCCAGATACTTATTCTATATTCTTGTAGACTTATTCCCATAAGTCTTCATAATATGTTAGTAATTAACAACTATTTAAGAGTATTCCCTTCCTATAGATATTTACATTTTAATATAGGAGTTTGGGAGACTGAAATCCCTTCAAAGGCAAAGAAATAAGTCTTAAATGGTAGAACTTTAGGCTCCCTGATGGGTGTTTCTGATATTTTTGGTATAGAAAGATATGCCCCACATTGTTATGTTATACCCTATATAACATAATTTGTATATATATATACACAAATATATATGTGTGTATGTGTATGTGTGTGTATACGCGCACATACACACACACGCACCGCACCCTCTCTATATATAAACAAATTCTTAGGTCATTTCTGCTTACACATATATTAAAAGTTCCTAGATTAAGAGACAATCCCAGTCTATATTTAGTCCTTTACTATAGCCATAGTGGTTATACCCTTGTTGTGGTCCATACATGAGATACTTATTAAAAGAAACTTACCTTATAAGAAAGTATGAAAAACTCTCTCATTATCACTGGATCTTTGTCAGATTGCACAGCCAAGTTCCAAGCTGGAAATTGACATAAAATAATGTAATAATATGAAAATCTACCATTTAGTCTGTACCACTATAATTTCTGCTATTTATACCTTTGATATTAACATACTAGTAAGGGGTTACTCAAGGTTTAAAAAATTAACTTTAGGTTTGTAAAGAAAATTTTTCCAGGTAAATTTAGAGACTCTTATCAATTCTAATCTTCAATACTAGACCAATACCTGAGAGAGGTACTGGTGAATTTTTTAAAATTGAGGACATACAATAAGAATTCTTAGTTGAGGCCAGGCTTGGTGTCTCATTCCTATAATCCCAGAACTTTGGGAGACCAAGCAGGAGGATTGTTTGAAGCCAGGAGTTCAGTACAAGCCTGGGCAACAGAGCAAGACTCCATCTATACAAAAAAAGAAACAAAACAAAACTAGCCAGGTGTAGTGGCACACACCTATAGCTCCAGCTACTCAGGAGACTGAAGTGGGAGTATCACTTGACACCACGAATTTGAGGTTACAATGAACTATGATGGCACCACTGCACTCCAGTCTGGGCAGCAAGACTGTCTCAAAAACAAACAAACAAAAAAACCTTAGTTGACACGAATCTATTTAAAAATGAAGATAAACATGGATAGAGCTCACCAACTCGCAGTGGTTAAAGTAAAAATTCAGCAAAGAACAAGGTACACTAGAATCTAGAGTTGAGAAAAATTCTGGAAAGATTCATGTCTTCCAAAGAGCAGTAGAAGCCCTCATCAGGTAATAGCTTCATCTTCACCTTGGAATATCAAAATTAAAATGCAGTAAAAAACATACCTTTCAAATCTTCAAAAGAGTAAAGTCTCCCAACTTGTCTATATTTTAGATGTTTGTTATTTTTCATTATTTGTTTCTTAGAAGTCAGATGTCAGATTGCTGCATTAATTCCCTTTCTCCTAGGATTAAAGCCCTATTAAACCTCATAAAGCAGGGAAAGGTTCATGTAGAATCAGTCCACTTTGTGGCACTGCTGCTTAATTGCTCATGCTTACTTGTTACTGTAGTAACAGCCTCCACAAGTTTTTTTTGCTAATTTTTTTTTTTTTGAGACAAAGTCTCACTCTGTCACCCAGGCTGGAGCGCAGTGGCATGATCTCAGCTCACTATAACCCCTGCCTCCCGGTTGAAGCAATTCTTCTGCCTCAGCCTCCTGAGTAGCTGGGACTAGAGGTGCACGCCACCATGCCTGGTTAATTTTTGTATTTTTGTAGAGATGGGATTTCACCATATTAGCCAGGCTGGTCTCAAACTCCTGACCTCATGATATGCCAGCCTCGGCCTCCCAAAGTGCTGGGATCACAGGTGTGAACCACTGTGCCTGGCCGCCTCCACAAGTTTTAAAATCACTTTTATTGAAATAGAGCCATTATAAAGTATATTACACAACTCATAATTGTACAGCTTACTGAATTTTCACAAAGTGGAAATATTCACGCATCTGGCACCCAGATCAAGAAAGATCTTGAACATTACCAGAAACCCTGAAGCTCCTACAACTTACAAGTCCAACTCCTTTTCTAGGATAACCACTATCCTGACTTCTAACACCATATATTAGTTTTGCCTGTTTTTAAAATTATAAATAAAATGAACAATGCAATATGTATTCTTCAATGTCTGGCTTCTTTTGCTCAACATTATGTGATTCATCCACATTGTTGTATATAGTTTATTTTTGGTCAATCACATTTAGAAATAAATTAAGTATTTCAAACCAAGTTCAGGAGTACAACCTTGGGGACCTGTAGTTATAGTTTATTCATTAGTGTAATCTTAGACTCATTCCTATAGAAAAGGAAGACAACTAATGTCCATTGAGAATCTACTATGATACCAAGTACATATGCTGTTTCATTTAAAACCCTTAATAACTATATGAAGTATATATAATTATTTCCATTTTATAAAGTAATGAAACAGATTAAGCAAGTTATCACTGTACCCACAGTTACAAATGAAAGATCCAGATTTTGAAATCACATCTGTCTGATTCCACCCCCCCACAATGTTTCCCATAGCCAAAGAATTTCCTCTTACCCATTTTTCGAAACCACTGAGCTTCATTAGCTCTTGACTCCAAACTGAAGGCTTCTTCACCATTAGGCTGAGAAAGTTTCACAAAGGCTGCATCAAACAGGAAAATTTGATACTGAGAGTTTTATCTTATACTCTAGCAAAGTTCTTTAATCCTGCTTTAAGAACAGTCTTACAGGAGTTTGAATTTAGAAAGTTCTTTTTTGTGTGTATGTGTGTGGGTGCACACCAAAAGTAATTAAAATGACAAAAAGCATTACTGAGTTCCAAGAAGTTGTTAATTCAAACTCTGGGAACAAACATGTCTTTGGAGAGATTTATAATTTTAATCAGTGCAATCATTCACCACCTGAGGTGGAAAGATATGATTTACATGTGAGGAAATAAAGAACAGAAACAATTGTTTAAAAGACTGAACTAGAGGACTGAGAATTGGAAGAGTATCAATACACTGACATAATATTTACTGAACCAGCAAGCTCAGGACAGAACCAGAACATGTTATCATTATCAGAAAGCATTTATTACATACCCGATGTCCTTCTGAGAAATAAGAATGCCATCCAACAAAGTTTTTCTCTTTTGAAAAGAAGTGGTTTGGTTTCTAAACTACTTTGCTATGTTTAATACCCTGTTGACAGGCATTTGAGGTATAAAATTGAGATACTGGAATAAGCAGGATAGAATTTCTAAGATATGAACTTTTTTGGTGTGTTTGGACATAAGGAAAGAGGTACATGGACAGTAAAAATGGGAGATCTGTTAAAAGGGATGCCATGTAAGAAGGCATGTAGTTGGAAAAAGAAATGTTATATAGCTAGGAGATTAGCTTGAATAAAGTGGACAGGGAAAAATTATTAGTAGATAAGGCAGATGGTACAGACTTGGGTGGAGAGCTTCAAAATAAGAGACTATACAATCTGAATTTGATTCAGAGGGTATGGAAAACCAGCAGGGTTCAGGGTATTTTTATTTGTCTTGATCCTTTTTCACCTGTTCACTTCTTAGATTAGGATCAAGTGGCTACTAGAAAAGAAAGGTGGAGGGACAAAGAGGGTGAGAAAGGAGGAAGGGAGAGAAGGAAAGGAGGGAGGGAAGGGGAAGGACAAAAGGAAGGAAAAAAGAATGGGAGGACGGGAGGACGGGAGGGAGGGAGGGAAGGAGATGTCCTTAAAACAAATAGGAATTAAAACAGAGCTGAAATCACATTTGGAGATGAATGCTAATGATGACACACTTTTTTTTCTCTGCTTGTGAATGAAGAAACCAAAATAGACTCCTGTAGCAAACATTAATAAGAAGCATGAAGCTTAACTCAAACATAAGGTTAAAGTCCGTGTGCTCAGTGTACTTGGAGAATTCAATAGAGAATGGAGGCAAGATGAAGGACTGAATATAACCATGGAGCTATTTACCTCTATTCAGGCAAGTCAAAAGTCGATCCATTTCTTTCATTCTAAAAATAAAGAAAAGAATATTTTCCAACTGTTCCAAATCTTTACTATAAAACCTAACTAAAAAGGGACACTATTTGTACCTGAGAATTGAGCTAAGAAAATGCAAAATTGTGAAGCTTTTTACTCAGGACTTCAATCTATCATTTCAACAATCTTCTTCCTCACTGTAGGGTACAGTTACTCATTCCCAGTGCCCTCATATTTTTTTTTCTCTTCTACTTCTTCATATACTCTTAGCAAAAGATTTCAACAACTGACAAGATTTTATATTGTAGGGTCATAATACTTGAGAGCAGGTGGTGATCTCTGTGATTTATAAGCTTTTTCTGAAGAGGGGGAACTAGAACCCTATTTCAAATAAAATTGTATAGAAGTCTAATATACATGAAAAGATTAAAGATAAAAGTTGAGCTGCTATGGTTGAACAAGGAGTGGGTGGAGGCTTGGAGCTTCACATTCCTGGAAGTCCTTGAGGCAATGCCACGAAATTTTCAGGGTTCTTAGGAATGCAGTTTAGAAAACTACTTATCTTGTATAGACACATCATTTTAAAGATGAAGAAAAAAGGGTAGACCCAGGTCTCTTGACCCCTCTGTCAAACTTCTTTAATTTAACAAAAAACTTCTGGCTTCTAGTTGTGCATGTAAGGAGCTTGGAAGTTGCCACTCTGTCCTAACAAGTAAAAAGCTGAACACACTGAAAAGTCATTAACTCGTCTTAGACCTATAAGAGAGGTGAGGAAAAAGGGAAAACTGCTGCCACAAAGATTAGAGAGACAGGCAAAGATAGGGAGTCACAGCTTACTAGAGCAGAGATTCAAAAGTGGAAACCACCATGGGAACCAATGCCAGAGTAGGAAAACTTGAAGCATAACTGAAAAATCACTGGAGGCTCAGTGTGGACAAGTCTGAGTTAAAAGACTCAGGAGAACCCAGTGATAGAGGGGCCTCCACAATTTTGTGAGTTTTGCCTCCAGGAACTTGGTTAGATATTCAGTGAATATTGAAGCAAAATCTCTTTATGCATCTTGCAGGGGGCAGAGAAAACAAAATACTTTAAAACATGCCAGAGTACTCTGTTCTTAACAAGTCTTGCCCCCAAGAGAAATTGCTTAACCACAGCCTGACCTTCTGGGGTATACCAGAGCCAAACTGATCTGGGAGAAGGGAAATACTCACATTCAGTCTACTCTAGCCATCCTGTCCCATCTAATGGTGGAGAAAAACACCTGAGAAGCACTTGTCAAGTTCACATCCGCTAAAAGACCAAGACCTAACAACTATAGGACTAAAGAATGCTTCTCAGCCAGGTGCAGTGGCTCATACCTGTAATCCTAGCATTCTGGTGGTCAAGATGGCAAGATTGCTTGAATCCAGGAGTTTGAGACTAGTCTGGGAAACATAGTGATACCCCATTTCTACAGAAAATTAAAAAATTAGCCAGGAATGGTTACACACGCCTGCAGTTCCAGCTACTCTGGAGGCTGAGGTGTGTGGATCACTTGGGCCTGGGGAGGTCAAGGCTGTAGTGAGCCATGATCATGCCACTGCACTCCAGTGTGGGTGACAGAGTGAAATACCATCTCTTAAATAAATAAATAAATAAACAATAAAATAAAATAATGCTTCCCCTCTCCCCACAATTCACCACCTCATTACTAAAGGCCTATTTATAGTAGTTCCTTTTACCTGGCACATGTCCAGCTTTCAAGAAAAAATTAGAAGGCACACTAAAAGGCAGAAAATACAATTTGAAGAGGCAGAGCAAGCATTAGAACTTGACATAGCAGGAATGTTGGAATCATCAGACTGGGAATTTCAGATAACTATGATAATTGATCATGATTAGGATAATTATTGAAAGGGCTCTAGTGGATAAAGTAGACAGCAGGCAAGAGCAGATCAGCAAAGTAATCAGACAGATAGAAATCCTAAGAACCAAAAAGGAATGCTTGTGATCAAAGACAGTGTAACAGAAATGAGAAAACCTTTGATGAGCTTATTAGTAGATTGAACAAAGCTGAGGGGGAAAAAAATCTGAGCTTGAGGTTATATAAACAGAAACCTCCCAAACTGAAAAGCAAAGTGAACAAACACTAAAAAAAAGAACAGAATATCCAAGGACTATGAGACAACTACAAAAGGTATAACATATGTGTAATGGGAATACCAGAAGGAGAAGAATAGATAATGAACAGAAGAAATACTTGAAATAATATGACTAAGAATTTTCCCCAAATTAATGTCATCTATATCAAGTCACAGTTTCAGGAAGCTCAGAACATCAAACAGAACAAATGACAAAAAAACTGACATCTAGGCATTTTATTTTCAAACTAGAGAAAATTCTGAAAAAAGCCTGAGGAAAAAAATACCTTAAAGAGGAACAAAGATAAGAATTACATTCCACTTCTGCTCAGAAACCACACAAACAGGAAGAGACTGAAGCAAATTATTTAAATGTTGAGAGAAAACTCTACTAACCCAGAATTCTGTATCTTATGAAATCATACTTCAAAAGTGAAGGAAAAGAAAGACTCTCAGACACAGGAGTGGAACAAGATGATGGAACAGAAGGCCCACCCATCATTCTCCCCCACCATAGGAACACCAAATTTAAGCACTATCTACACACAAAAAAGGACTCTCATAAGAACCAAAAATCAGGTGAGCACTCACAATATCTGGTTTTAACTTCATATTGTTGAAAGAGGAACTGAAGAGAATAGGAAAGACAGCCTTTAATCACCAATGCCACCTCTTCCCTGTCCCCCAGCAGCTGCATGGTGCAGAGAAATCTGTGCACTTGAGAGAGAGACAGAGTGCAGAGATTATCAGACTTTGCATTGAACTCAGTGCCGCCCTGTCACAGCATGAAGGAAAACTAGGCTAAACACAGCCAACTGACCCAGCAATCCCATTACTGGGTATATATCCAAAAGACTATAAATCGTTCTACTATAAAGACACATGTACATGAATGTTCATTGCAGCACTGTTTACAATAGCAAAGACCTGGAATCAACCAAAATGCCCATTGATAATAGACTGGATTGGAAAAATGTGGCACATATACACCATGGAATATTATGCAGCAATCAGAAATGATGAATTTGTGTCGTTTGTAGGGACATGGATGAATCTGGAGAACGTCATCCTCAGCAAACTGACACAAGAACAGAAAATGAAACACCGCATATTCTCACTCATAGGCGGGTGATGAAAAATGAGAACACATGGGCACAGAAAGGGGAGTACTAAACACTGGGGTCTATTGGGGGGAAAAGGGGAGGGCCAGTGGGAGGGGGAGGTGGGGAGGGATAGCCTGGGGAGAAATGCCAAATGTGGGTGAAGGGGAGAAGGAAAGAAAAGCACACTGCCATGTGTGTTCCTACGCAACTGTCTTGCATGCTCTGCTCATGTACCCCAAAACCTAAAATCCAATAAAAAATTAAAAAAAAAAAAAAAACACAGCCAACTCCTGCTAACAGAGGGAGCATTTGGACCAGCTGTAGCAAATGGGGAATCTCTCATTCCAGTGGTTGGAATCTGAGTTCCAATAAGCCTAACCACCATGGACTAAAGTGCTATGGGACTCTAAACTTGAAAGGCAGTCTAGGCCACAAGCAATGCAAGTCCTGATGCTGAGCTGGGCTCAAAATCAATGGACTTGGGGGTACAATGTACTGAGACACCAATTGGGGTAGCTAAGGGGGTGCTTGTTCCACCCCTCCCCAACTCTGGGTAGCATAGCTTTGGCTCCAAAGGAGGCCCCTTCCTTCTGTTTGAGAAAAAGAGAGGGAAGAGTAAGGAGGACTTTGCCTTGCATCTTGGATATCAGGTCATCCACGGTAGGATAGGGCACTGAGAGGCATGAGACCCCCATTCCTCTAGCTCCTAGATGACAGTTTGATGCACACCCTGGGAGAGAAGGGGGCCCACTGCCTTGAAGGAAAAGACCCAGTCCTGGAAAGATCTATCGCCTGTTGACTGAAGAGTCCTTGGGCCATGAATAATCAGCAGTGACCCCAAGGAGTATACTGTGGGCCTTGGGTGAGACTGAGATGTGCTGACTTCAGGTGAGACTCACCACATTCCCAGCTATGGCGGCTATGGTGAGAGACCACAGCTTGGGAAAAGCAGAGGGAAAAATAAAGAAAACTTTGTCTTATGCCTTAGGTATCAGCTTAGCCACAGTGGGGTAGAACATCAAGTGGGATCTTAGGGGCCCCAATGCCCTGGGCCAGAGGGGAGCCCAGTACCCTGAAGGGTGAAATAAGGCCTGGCAACATTTATTACAAGGTGACTGAAGAGCCCTTGGGCTTTAAGTGAACATCAGCGGTAGCCTGGCAGTATTCCACATGGGCCTGTGGAAGGTGGAGGGAAGAGCAGGAAGGACTGCGTCTTACGGTTTGATGGCCAGCTCAGCCACAGTAGAATAGAATACCTGAGGTAGACTTCTAAGGTTTTTGACTCCAGTCTCTGGCTTCTGTACAGCTTCTCTGGACTCACCTAGGGCCTAGAGGAACTTGCTGCCCTTAAGAGGACACAGGCCTAGCTGGTTTCACCACTTGTTGATTGCAGAGCCCTAAGGCCTTGAGCCAACAACACAGGTGGTAGTCAGGTAGTGGTTACAGTGGGCCTTGGGTGCAAACCAGGGCTGTGTTGGCTTCAAGTCTGACCCAGTGCAGTCCTAGTGGTAAAGGCCATGGGTGCTTGTATCACCATACCCCTAATCCCAGATAGCTCAGGAGTGGGAGAGTGGGAGGCGGGCAGGGGGAGAGGGAGAGAGGGGAGAGGGGAGAAGGATGAGGGAGGGGAGGAAAGCGGAGGAGAGGGGAGAAGGATGAGGGAGGGGAGGAAAGCGGAGGAGAGGGGAGAAGGATGAGGGAGGGGAGGAAAGCGGAGAAGAGGGGAGAAGGATGAGGGAGGGGAGGAAAAGGGAGAAGGATGAGAAAAGGGAGGAGACGGGGAGGAGACAGGGAGGAGATGGGGAGAAA